CGCGTCGCTGCCGCTCGGCAGCGTGAACCAGACGCGCATCTGCCTTCGCTCCTTGTTGGCCTCGAACTCGAGCATGGACGGGGGGGGGGTACTGCCGGTTCTCCTTCTGCCTGACGCGGTAGGCCAGCAGCTTGAGCTTGTCGTGGGCGTAGCGCGCGAACGCGCCGACTTCCGTAGGAATCGCGGCGGCTTCGAGCAGGAAGGAGCCCAGATACGGGAGGAAGACGTCACAGTCGGCGGGAAGACGCCACAGTACGCGGCGGGACGCGCGATACCGGCCACGAAGATGTCCTTGAGGACGGGGTAGCTCTCCTCGCCGTCGATGAAGCGGGTGAGCTTGCGGAAGAGCGTCAGCGACAGATTGACCAAGTTCACGCTGCTGGTCTTGTGCAGCGGGAAGTCCAGTTTCTGGCACGATTCGAAACGAACACGGGTGAGAACAAGTCACGGGAATGATGACGAGGATGAGGATGAGGATGACGATGACGATGATGATGATGATGATGACGCCAATAAGAAGGTTCACACCTTGGAGTAGGCGCAGATCTGTTGCGTTGAGAAGGACTTCTGCCGGCGCAGCGGGATGGCGCTCTTGCGCTTCATCATGTGTTGAAGTTGGCGCGGGCATACTCCTCGAACGAGTATTTTGAGCATGTCGGCCGAGCTCACGATTTCGGGAATGTCCCTGCGCCATTCACATCATCACCACCATCATCTCTCACTCGAGTGACATTGGGGGAAAAAGGTGTCGTACTCGATGCCTTGCTTGCGGTGCATGGGCGTGTGCTGTTTGTTGTTGTGAGCTGTAGCCTCGCGACGACGCGTCGACGCAGGGAGGCCACACGCGGGGAGTCACACTGGGCAGCCGGTTTGACCGGCTGCAGGTACTTGTTGAGGCTCGCGGTGTAGAGCACCACCTTGTCGGCGTCCTGGCCCGTCTCGGCGATGGCCTCCATCGCGTCGGTCTCCAGCACAATGTCGGGCAGGCGCGCCTGTTCACCTCGAAAAACAGCACCGAATCGGCCTCTGCGGGCACCGGCGCGGCCTCGCCGCTCCTGAGCGTCCCCCGTCGTTCTGTATTCGGCGCGCATGGTCCCGGTCCCGGTCTGCTCTCCTGCCGCCGCTTCTCCTCGGCCTCCCGTGCGCGTCGTTGCCGCCTCCTCCTCGCGTCGCTTGGCCCTCTTCCCTCCTCCTTCGCTCGTACTCGGCCTGGCGGCGCATGTCGTAATAGATCCTACGCGCGCGCGATAACACCACCACATGACTGCGCGGCCGGCCGCGTTTGTTAGCTGACCGATCCCCCCCACGTGTCGTGCGTGTCCCCAGGTCGACGAAGGAGCCGCACCAGCTCTGGATCAGGATGACCCGGCCCCCGGAGGGCCTTGCGCCCTTTTCTTCTTCTTCTTCTTCTTCTTCATGAGCATGACTAAAATCGAAAGAGCCGAGCTCTCTATAAAGGTACCTTGAAGTTTTCGAAGCCAAAGATTCGAAATCGAGCATGCCAATGAACGATTTGGTCAGCTTGGGCTTGTGGATGACCCGGTTGATCGATCTCGACTCCACTTACGTCCCATAGATGCGCGCGCGCGCTGGCATTTGTGATCCATTTCCACCTCGAGTGAGACTCCTCTTCAAATAGATTATTTTTTGTTATTATTTAAGAAGAGAAGAAAGAAAAGAAAAAAGAAAAAAAGAGAGAGACGAAGACGAGGGAGTCCGTGTCGTCGTCGTCGTCGTCGTCGTCGATGAAGAGGGCGTCTGTGTCGCAGATGAAGATGGCATCCCTGTCGTCGTGGATGAAGATGGTGTCCGTGTCGTCGTCGTCATCGAAGAAGACTGGTGGCGTCCGTGTTGTGTCGTAGTCGATGAAGATACACCTGGTGTCGGTGTTGTTGGCGAACCACCAGTGGCGTCCGTGTTGTCGTTGTTGATGAAGATCGGTGGCATCCGTGTCATCGTCAATGAAGATTGGTGGTGTCCGTGTTGTCCGTCGTCGTCGTCGTCGCGCGAAGATCAGTGGCGAAGACCCGAGGCGTCCGTGTTGTCGTGTCACTCGTCGGCGATGGTTGAAGATAGCTTCCGCGTCTCTCACGTTCCACCTGAAATATAACATATAACATATAACATATAACAGATAGCCTGTGGTTGGGTCGTAAGTGAAGGTGAAGGTCCATGGTGTAACATATAACATATAACATATAATCCTGTGTCTGCGTGGCATCCGCGTTGTCGTGTCGCTCGTCGGCGATGGTTGAAGATAGCTTCCGCGTACCTCGTGTTCCACCTGAAATATAACATATAACATATAACATATAACAGATAGCCTGCGGTCGTGTCGTAAGTGAAGGTCCATGGTGTAACATATAACATATAACATATAACAGATAATCCTGTGTCCTCGTGGCGTCGTCGATGAAGATCTGCGAACAACACACCGAGCCTGATGATGGAAGGGAGTATGCATAAGTGACTGAGCTTGACGATGGAGCTGAGCTTGAACAACGTACCGAGCTTGATGATGGAGCTGAGCTTGACTGGCATACTTAGCTTGATGATGGAACTGAGCCGGAACAACGCACCGAGCCTGATGATGGAGCCAAGCTTGAATGATGCACTGAGCTTGATGATGGAGCTGAGCTTGATTGACATACTGAGCTTGACAATGGAACTGAGCTTGACCGACGTACCAAGCTTGACGATGGAACTGAGCCTGAACAATGCACCGAGCCTGATGGTGGAAGGGAGTATGCATAAGTGACTGAGCTTGACAATGGAGCTGAGCTTGATCGACGTACTGAGCTTGACGATGGAACTGAGCTTGACTGACGTACTGAGCTTGATGATAGAACCGAGCCTGAACAACGCACCGAGCCTGATGGTGGAAGGGAGTATGCATAAGTGACTGAGCTTGACGATGGAGCTGAGCTTGAACAACGTACTGAGCTTGATGATGGAGCTGAGCTTGACCAACGTACTGAGCTTGACAATAGAACTGAGCCTGAACAACGCACCGAGCCTGATGATAGAAGGGAGTATGAATAAGTGACTGAGCTTGATGATGGAGCTGAGCTTGAACAATGTACCGAGCTTGACGATGGAGCTGAGCTTGACCAACGTACCTAGCTTGACCGACCGAGCCACGCTTGCACGCCGAACCGAGCTTGACCAACGGAGCCGCACTTGCACGCCGAACCGAGCTTGACCGATGGAGCCGCGCTTGCACGCCGAACCGAGCTTGACCGACGGAGCCGCGCTTGCACGCCGAACCGAGCTTGACCGACGGAGCCGTGCTTGCACGCCGAGCTTGACCGACGGAGCCGTGCTTGAATGCTGACCTTGAGGTCGAAGGGATCGGCCACCTCACCTGACTGCCAACCAACAGCTCACCGAGCACTTACCTCTCAGCTCTCTCAGCAACCAGCACGACACCACGCCACCACGTCACCACGGCACAAAGGTTGCTGAGATCACTTCGAGATAAGCACTCAGCTTGCTGTCAGCCAACAGGCAGGTCCTGCTGGGAAACAGAATAAAAGAAAGGTGCTGCCCATCTCTCTTTATGGACAGCGTCAAGTGGTCCATGCTCAGTCTTGCACAATCAAAGCATACCTTGTGTTGAACACCAAGCTGAGCTTGACCAACAGAGCCGCACTTGCACGCCGAACCGAGCTTGACCGACGGAGCCGTGCTTGCACGCCGAACCGAGCTTGACCGACGGAGCCGCGCTTGCACGCCGAACCGAGCTTGACCGATGGAGCCGCGCTTGCACGCCAAACCAAGCTTGACCGATGGAGCCGCACTTGCACGCTGAACCGAGCTTGACCGACGGAGCCGTGCTTGAATGCTGTCCTTGAAGTCAAAGGGATCGGCCACCTCACCTGACTGCCAACCAACAGCTCACCGAGCACTTACCTCTCAGCTCTCTCAGCAACCAGCACGACACCACGCCACCACGGCACAAAGGTTGCTGAGATCACTTCAAGATAAGCACTCGGCTTGCTGTCGGCCAACAGGCAGGTCCAAACTGAGCTTGACCAGCAGAGTTGTACTTGCACACCGAACCGAGCTTGACCAACGGAGCCGCGCTTGCATGCCAAACTGAGCTTGACCGATGGAGCCACGCTTGCACGCCGAACCGAGCTTGACCGATGGAGCCACGCTTGCACACCGAACTGAGCTTGACCGACAGAGCCGCGCTTGCACGCCGAACCGAGCTTGACTGATGGAGCCACGCTTGCACACCGAACCAAGCTTGACCGACGGAGCCGTGCTTGAATGCTGACCTTGAAGTCAAAGGGATCGGCCACCTCACCTGACTGCCAACCAACAGCTCACCAAGCACTTACCTCTCAGCTCTCTCAGCAACCAGCACGACACCACGCCACCACGCCACCACGGCACAAAGGTTGCTGAGATCACTTCAAGATAAGCACTCAGCTTGCTGTCAGCCAACAGGCAGGTCCTGCTGGGATACTACACAGACGGAGCTAGGTAAGTAATCAAACAACACAACCTTCCTTGAAGAGATGACGTACTTATGGCAGGCCAATGGTACGCCACATCGATGATGCACTTGAGAAGAGCCGTCCCTTGAAGGTTGCTGCAGGCCTCACTCTCGCTGGCCTCCTCCTCTGATGGGGCTTGACCGTGTGGTCCTCCTCGATGTGGACCTCCTTGACACTGACCTCCTCGACGCCGACCTCCTCGATGCCGACCTCCTCGACGCCGACCTCCTCGACGCCGACCTCCTCGACACCGACCTCCTCAACGCTGACCTCCTCGACGCCAACCTCCTCGACGCCAACCTCCTCAACGCCGACCTCCTCGACGCCGACCTCCTCGACACCAACCTCCTTGATGCCGACCTCCTCGACGCCGACCTCCTCAATGCCGACCTCCTTGACATGGACCTCCTTGATGCCGACCTCCTCGATGCCGACCTCCTCGATGCCAACCTCCTCGACAGCCAGCTCCTTGATGGGCACCTCCTCCTCCTTGGTGAGGCCCTCCTCGACATGGCCATTCCACATCACCCAAGCTCCAAGCATGATGATGAGGGTGATGAAGAAGTCGAAGATGAATCTCCCTTGATTGAAGTCCTCCTCGATGGGGACCTCCTCGACGCAGACCTCCTCGACGCAGACCTCCTCGACACAGACCTCCTCGACGCAGACCTCCTCGACGCAGACCTCCTCGACACCGACCTGCTTCTTGACAGCCGCCCACTTGCACCTCTCCCTGGCCACAGCCATCAGCCAGGCGCGCATGGCGCTAGCTCGTCTCCAACGGGTCTCCTCGATGGCAGCCTTGGCCTCCTTGTGTTGACGCTCTAGATCCGACATTGCAGCTGCAGCTGCAGCTTGAGCGAGTTGGTCGTAGTCATCCTCATCGACATCATCGGCAAGCACTTGACCATTACGGACACCTAATGAAAGACAATGTGTGTGCGTTAGCAAGAGCCCGAGGAGTAGTTGAAGCGGAAATGGAACAATTTGATAAAGATGTAGATGGAGACGGAGATTGATTGACATCCATCTACATCTCCAACGACAAGATTCATCATCTACCAAATCCTTTCTCGGGATTTGGATTTCTGAAGAAGATCTGGAACGAGAGAGAGAGAGCTTTGAAGCAGTTGGGCAACTGATACGTACTTTGCTTGTTGGCCAGGGCCTTGGCTGCTCTCTTGAGACTTGCGAGGGCCTGGGGTGTCGTCGATGGGTCTCCACGCCAGTGGTCGACACAGACGGCGTGGTCGAGCTGATCTTCGGGGACGATGTCGTGGGCGTTGTCGTCGATGAGCACCACGCCGGAGAGGTCGTCGCCAAAGACGGCGCGTAGGTCCTTCTTCCCACCGACCATGTG